GGTAATTAAACCGTTACAACGCATTTTAGAAACACTTTAAAACGGGTTTCAGACATTAGGCACTTAAACGATACGAACAAAATAGGCATTAAAAAACACAAGCGGAATCACTGTTAGCAACTGGAAACTGGAACGTAGAACTGTTGGTCGGATGCTTCTCCATCCTCTCCCTCCGTTAGCGGCCTGGGTTTTATACTTGCGTCCTCTTCATCTAGGCGGGGTTGAGCTCCCTCAGATCTCACCCCGCTAATCGCCTCTTTGGCCCCCCAGCCGTCCTTTCTGCTCTAATTTCAGTCCTTGGGTTCCAAGGCTTTGGGAGCCCTTACCAGTACTATTTTTTTGTTCCTCCCGAGCTTGGAAGTGTTCGCTAGCGGCGACACTCCCGCCTCTCGTTGATTGAGTTGATCCTCTAAGTCGCGGATATGGTACTTTATATACTCCAGGAAAACTTTTTGTTCCTGGATTTCTTCTCTTTCGAGTTGCTGCTTCTCCTCTTCGCTGAGTCCTGAAGGTATACAAATTCCTTGCCTGAACGTTGCCAGTACTTGTAGGAATTCGGCACGTAGGTTCCTCATCGTAGGTTCCGTAGGTGTTCGGTGGCGGCGACACAGTGTATTTTAGCAAGGAAAAAAGTCTTTTGCGAGTTATAACAATTTTACTTTTTTTAATTTTATGGAAACAGTCATTTATATTTTACAGAAACAAATCAAATTTGGAGTGACATGATAAGCATAGTTGTAGCAGCTTCAATAACACTCGACAGAATAGACATTCTGAAGAAACAGGGTGTTTCAAGCAGCATTTTACTAAGAAAAATTTATTCTTTTTGGCTCAAATCATTTGCTTGTATACTTTCAATTTTTCTTTTAAAGATGGCTTTGCTCAACAATTTTTGCATAATACTGGTTACAAACGTTATATATTTCTCGCTTTAGAATTTGTTTATGCCACTTCGAGATTCTTGGGTATCGTATTGTCACACCTAGAGTCAGAGATCAGAGATAAAGCTGTATTTTAAACAGCAATTTATTGTTTGAAAGAAGAAAAGTTCTGGCTCATAAACGCATATCAGAACCTTCAGGTTATTGGATGACAAGGAGCGAATGAATACAAGAATTTTTCTTCATGAGAATCGCATTAGAAATAGTGGTCAAATTCAACAAAAAATAGTTTGACACATTTTTAAGTTCCTTATTTTGCTGGATAGGCTCATATAATGGTTTGTACGTGTTTGCCCTCTGTCGTGGCAGTACGCTAAACGCCGAATTCATCTGGAGCGGCGTCACTCCCTGAAGGGACGCTTTTGGAGGAGTGATTGTCTCAGGTACCAGACTACAGGTGAAGGTCACCGTTACCTTCATGCGGGGAAGCCTCCAAGGAAGGCTTGGTTGGTCAAACTTTTAAGAAAAAACAGGAGGGTGTGAGGGAAACAGAGTACAGAACTAGTTCTAGAGCTTCTAAATTTTTGGTTTTTTTCTCAATCTTTAGCACTTGATAACGATTAGAATCAAATCCCTTTCTGCGTTTTCTTCAAATTTTTAATTCCGTTTTTTTCGTTATTTTCTTATTTGTTTCGTTATAATTTTAATTATTGTTTGTTTCGTATTATTGGCTTTGTTTTCTTAGTTATTGTAGTGCGGGTGTACTTGAGCTGCACCTGTGTACGACAATATTTATAGAAAATAAAAGCTATCAAAGATATATAGGCGTTCACACCTTATCGTTGCTAGATCTAGGTTCTGCTATCGTCATAGGTTGTACCTAAAAGAAAGTCCTTAAACGTTACCAAATAAAATACGTTGTTGGTGGTTGGTGCTGCACCGCTCAAGCGGCTATTGGGTCTGCAGTATAGAGTAAAAAACATCGGGCTTTTAAAGAGCGTAGTGGGAGGAAGGCTTAGACCATCTTTCAATCAGGAAGTGTTTTGGTAGTCGCAACACTCTCCATAGCTCTCACCCTTAAATTTCAATCAAAGAAGGAGGTCATACTGACCTGATTTGTTCCACATGAACTCTATCTTAATTGGGTATGTTCTTGGTGCTTACTGTTTGGCGTTAATGAGCGAATTTAAGATAGTCATCTTATTATTATGGCAAGAGCAACATGAGCTGACTTTTTTTTTTAACTATGGCGGTTCAAAATATGTAGATTTTTATACAGATAATAAGAAGGAAGGAACTGCTTTCTTGCAAATTCTGCTGCTCTGAAAGCTGGCGATAGGATCACTGTTTTTATTAAGGCCCAGGATGCCCGGAAAACCCTTGTCTTTGCATCCTGTACCGCTTCCTTCCTTATTCTGTGGAAGCTTTTGCGACAGAACCGTGATGCTACCCGCCTTCATGTGGCGAATTATACTGCACCTAGCTTTCAGTATTTCTTTATCTTCAATGACTGTCAATTCTCCTTCACCAACCAGTGGGTAAAATTTGGTGGTAAAATTCTAGTAAAAGTTATTCGCCACTTCTTTTGGGCTAGGATAACAAGAAGTCTTCAAATAGATATAAATAAGCTGAAGTCGTGGAAATGTTGCTCACAAAAAATTGTCATTTTTAAATACTTTCTTGCAGAAACACTTGAATAACAGTATCTATAGCCTTAACAACAGAAAAACTTCCAAGAATTCATGATATGTACTACATGAGAAAAATTCATTTTTTGAATTTTAGTGGACATTGTAACAGATCCCTTAAAACTAGTATAATTTTTTAATGCCGTAAAGAGCGATTAGGCAGCCATTTCTGCTGAAAACTAAAATTTTTGATTGAGGAAGTAACCGTTTTAGGTCACTGTGAGAACATGCATTGGGAATATCGCACGATTTATGGTGGTTGCTTAAGTGAAGCAAATCTTGTTCAAAATTGGTGCTGCTTGCAAAATTGCTTATATCTGTATAAGCAGTTGCTGACAGTAACTTTTAAATTGAATTTGGTTAGAGGTAGGAACTTCAACAAAAAACATTCAATCGGCGGCAACCACTGATAACGTTGATGTTTAATTTTATATCAACTACAATCAGTAACTACGACTGTGCTGTTGAATATTAATCAATTCGTATATTTTATGAACACATTTTCCCTACATTTATTCAGTATGTTATTCTATTCAAACGCACGTATTTTTGTAAATTTTATT